GAGGGCTGTGTCTTGGGGGTATAGGGAGGATCCCCCTCCCCGCCATCGGCCCGTCCCTCCAGAGGTGGGCAGTATTGTGAACTCTTTTCCTCCCTTTAGGGAGAGGCTGACCAGGTGGCCCACGCCAGCTGCTCCTGACTCTCCCAGAGTCGACACGGTATTGGGACACTGTGCAGGGGACCCAGCACAGACTAGAACAGCTTGGTTCTCTATTCCAGGTGCAGGCAGGTACCTCATCCCCCACCCCCACCAGGTCTGCCGGACCGGACCAGCAGAACAGGATGTGCTTTGAGACCCTCAGAGTCTGTATGTTAACAGAACAAGGAGAATCCTTTTCATTTTCATCTTTGCAAACGTCTTTCCCCTCCGAATCACCCTGATTTTTACACAGCTCCAAAAACAGGTTTTTCTTGAAAATGCTCATTTTACAGATGAGAAAATAATCTGAGAGGTAACTCTAGCTGCTGGCTCATAGACACCGAGTCAGTAGCAGAGTCAGGATTCGAACTCAGGACTTCTAACTGTAGTCACCATTCAACAAAAGCAAATCCATACGCCCCACCTCCCCCCACACCTCTCAGCTCCTTTCCTGTTTGTTGATGGACTTACAGAGAAAACATTATTTCTGATGTTCATCGTGGGCTTCTCATTTGGGCTTAAAGTCCCCATGTGAACATCCTGAGCCCCCACCCCCTCCTCAGCCTCTCCTGGAATCCTGTCCTGGGCTTGGGGCATCTGAAAAAACTTGGGGAAGCGGATGCTCTAATAATCACTTGGGGCTTCTCCAAACGTCCTGTTGCCCTCCTGACTTAGGACTCGGGAGTTTTACTTTTCCACCAGCTCAGATCCAGGCTGTCCCTGGTTAACTTGTAGGGTCCCTTTCTAGGCCGGCAGGCTCCCCCATGGGACATTTGCCCTGGAGACAGTTCAGGCCTTTCTTCCTGTGAGCGGTGATTGAATGGTGCAAGGAGCTCATGCTCCCAACAATTTGTTTGGTAATTCTAAGACTCTTGTGAAAAATGCATGAGGCCTGCTACACAATCGGGTCAGCTGAAAAACTTGGAAGAAAATCCACTTGTGACTCAGGAGGCGATTGGAGATGGATCTCTCCAAGGACAAATTCTTCTGTTAACACTAAGGTTTTCATCCCGGGTCCAAGGCTGCCTGGCGCCTCTGGTCAGATCTATCCCACTGTGCCACTGCGGTTTCTTTCCTATTCTTTCGCTCATGAATTTGGCTTGGATTCAGATCTTCATGACTCTGGGTTCTATCTTCAAAAGTTGCTGCCCTAGTGCAGAAAAGTGGAGCCAGAACCAGCCTAGTATTGTTCAGCAACTGTGATGACCTGGGGTGGGGACACTACAGGTGAGGAGTGAGCTGGCTAGCCCTGACTTCAGCAGTGTCTGTTGTTGGGGGATTGGGCCAGCCCATTGTAATTGGACGCTCTGGTTTTGCCTCCTTTGTGAAAGGGCAGGCATTGAATAAGTATGTCTTTGCTTGTTGTTTGTCTTGCTCCATATGGGGCTGTCTGCTGGTTTTAGAGCAGCTCCCAGCAGCCCTGAAGTCACCCTCTGTAGGCTGGTCCTGTGATTACTTAGTTTATATAGACTCTCAGAACTAGATCCTTAAAGTTCCTCTGCAGAGGCTGCTGAAAATGAAGAGAACTTAAAACATTTACTGATGAAGATCCAAGACCACAGCCTTCAGTATGGATTGCATTTCAATGTAAAGAAAAACAAAAATCCTCACCCCTGGACCAATAAACAACATTCTCATTAACGGAGAAAAGATTGACGTTGTCAGGGAAGCAGCAGAAAAGAAATCAGACAACATACTGCATTAGCTAACTCTGTTGCACAAGACCTTTTTAAAGTGTTGAAGAGCAAAGATGTCAACTTGAGGACTAAAGTGCGCCTGACCCAAGCCATGACATTTTCAATAACATCATATGCATGCGAAAGCTGGACAGTGAAAATAAGGAAGACTGTAGAAGAATTGATGCATTTGAGTTAAGGTGTTGGAGGAAAATACTGAAGGTGCCATGAGCTGCCAAAAGAACCAATAGATCCGTTCTGGAAGAAGTGCAGCCAGAGTGCTCCTTGGAGGCCAAGATGGCCAAACTTCGTCTCTCATACTTCAGACATCTTGTAAGGAGGGAGCAGTCGCTGGAGAAGGATATCGTGTTTGGTAAGGTGGTGGGTCAGAGAAAAAGAGGAAGACCCCCAATGAGATGGATTGGCCAGGTGGCAGCATCAGTGGGCTCAAGCGTTAGGTTGGCCCAGGATCAGGTGTTTTGTTCTGTTGTGCATAGGGTCAGAACCTAACAACCACAGTGATTGCCCCCATGCCAGAGACGAGGACACTGAGACCCAGTGGAACCAGGTACTTCTCAGCATGACACCGGGAGGGATAGTGGGGAGCCTTGATGTCTCGGCCCCTGGTCCATTCCTCTGGCCCTGCGCCAGGCTGCTTCCCGGTGTGTTTGAGGTGAGGACAGGGAAGGATCATAACCCAGGCTGGGAATTCAGCAATGGAGTCCATGAAATCAGCGTGTGGACGGAAGGCTGTTCAGGGTTCACTTCTCTTTGCACATGGGCTGCCCATGAAATTTGCCTGTTGTGCTTACTGAGTAGATAACCTTGTCCCGTTGATTTCGTATGGTGGAGAGGGACCTGTGAATGACATGCTTTCTCATGGAAGCATGGATCTTGTTCAAAAGAGCAACAGAGAGATGTTATGTTGACTTCGACTCGCAGAACGCCATGCAACAGAGCAGAGCTGCTCTTTAGAATTTTCTGGGGTGTAATGCGGGTTAATGCACTGGACTGCAAGGTCATTTTGACCCCCAAGGTCAGCGGCGCAAGCTCAGCAGCTGTTCCTCAGAAACCCTACACAGGGTTGTTGTGAGTCGGAACCGAATCTATGGCACTTAACAACAACAAATCCTTACCGAAGCAGATCGCCAGGTATTTCTTCTACAGAGCGTCTGCGTGGGTTCAAAGTGCTTAACTACTGTGCTACCAAGGCTCTTAGAGTGGTGGTGGTTGGTGTTAAAGTGCTGTTGCTTCCAACTCTTAGCGACCGTCTGTAGGGTTTCTGAGGAGCAGCTGGTGTGTTTGAACTGCCAACCTCGCAGTTAGTAGTCCATTGCCTCTTCTACAGTGCCACACCAGAACTCCTTGAGAGGGATTGTAGTTGTTGTTGCTAAGTGTCACTGAGTTGTTTCTGAACCATAGCGGCTCTGTATAGGATTTCCTAGGAGTGGCTGGTGGGTTTGAACAGCTGACCTAGTGGTTCACAGTCCAGTGCTGATCTTACAGCACCAAACCAGGACTCCACAAATAACTGCCCTCACATGTAAGGTGGGGACAGAGACACTGGGTAATGGCTGCGATGCTCAGAGGCAGCGTTGGAAACTCAAGTCGTCCTCACACCCCGAGTGCCTGAGCCCACATGGTCTCCCACCTGAGGCTCCTGGCGCGTTCTGTAATGATACAGTGGCACAGGTGGGTCCCTCAAGAGGAAGAAGTTAAGAAGGCAGTTTGTGTGCTGCCTTGGGGTTTTTATAATTATTTTTTAAGCTGTCAGAGAAAAAGACAACAGCCTGATGCTCTGGTGTGAAAAGTACAGCGGGGGTGGGAGTGTGGGCAGGAGGATTTCAGAATTTCATGGGAAACAGGCATGAATGTCTGGGTTTTGTGATGCACACTCTTGAAAAGGAATTGTACACATAAAACAAACAAACAAAAAAAACATTCACTAGGTACCAAAATGGGTTCACCAAAAAAAAAAAGATGTCCATATCGAGCATTCGTTTTGCTGCTAGGGTTTACTGGAAGCATCGTGGGTGGCTTTCCCCTGGCCTCTTGCTCTTCTCCCAGACTGGTCCTGTGGGCTGGGCGTGGAGAGGTGACAATGTCAGCCCCAGCAAGCTGGTGACAGATCGTCCCTAAGCCCAGCTGTCTCCCAGAGACCCTGTACTCCCACTCAGTGGTTTTGTCCTTAGAATTGAGGCATTTCAGAGCTGGAGCCATGGCCTTGTTTGCCGGGTCTGGCTGACTGAGGTGGGTTGGAGCTCCTATGTTCCAAGTGGATGGCAGGACCAGGTCTCAGGGACCTCCTTTCTCTCCACCCATGTTTTTTTTCCCAGAAATACTCTGCCCCTTGTATTTGTTGCTGAATTCTGGCATAGATAACAGTCTCTGTTTCTCCGCTTGGATTGCTGCCATTTCTCCCCAAGAAGACTAAGCTGCTTACCGATTGGTTTAGTCACCACTTCCCTTGCATTCCCATAGTGCCTACCGTGCAGCCTGGAGATGGTGAATATATAGACAAGTCTCACTTCAGCTGGACAAGGTGTGGCATTTATCATGCCCACATCTTCCTACGGAGCTTTTAATGAATCCCAGCGGCCGTTTCACCCCTCGTCTGCCGTGGCCTCAGGATCCATTCAGTACCTGCGTTTGGGCACTCACCATTGGTGGTGTGTAATCAGCACCGGGCAGAGATCTGGTTTCAGGTGCGGCTTCATCCAAGGCTCAGACAATGCAACCCGAGCCTGGTCTTTCGCCTTTGCTCAACTGTTGTCTCCATTGGGGCCACGTGTCTGGGTTTTGGCTCAGTCTGGCCTTCCCCACAAGAGCAGGCAACGACCAGGGTCCAACCTCCAAGATTCGTCTTTCTCCTGGAGTGCTGGTGAAGAGACTCTTGTGAGCCGTACTCTGATTGGACTGACTGGGGTCACATGCTGGTTCCTGACCCAGAGTGTGGCATACTCTGATTGGCCTAGCTGAAAGCATGTGCTCTCTGGTGGGTCTGAACCTATGAAGGCATTGTCTCAACACTGTGTGATGCCCCAAAGAGAACGCAGGACAGGTGGGGAGGGGGCAGAGAGGGATTGATGTAACACCCCTCTCTCTACTCAAGGCATAAAACCCTGCTCACCTTCCTCCGTCCAGCACCAGCCTCCCCTCTCTAACCAGGCGTGGCTTTCGTTTCAGGAGTACATCGATGCCCACCCCGAGACCATTGTCTTGGACCCTCTTCCTGCCATCAGGACCCTGCTGGACCGCTCCAAGTCCTACGAGCTCATCCGGAAGATCGAGGCCTATATGAAAGGTACGGCAGGAGAGATCTGCAGCCCAGCAAGATGGCTGTGTCCTGGGATAGGGCATAGCTGAGCTCCGTGCAGGAGAACATTCTGGGGAGGCGCTTTTTTTGTGCCTCTGTGGCTGGCAGAGCCAGGAAAGAAAGGACCTCAGTGTGCTCTCTGGGGAGCGCCCCCAGCCACTTGAGCAGGGCTTTGTTCTATTGTGTTGAGCCCATGGGTGGCAGGGTGGTGGAGAAATGTCCCGGTCACACACAGCACTCAGAGGACCTGGGTGCATGTAGAATAGCTCAACAGCAGGCGAGGGGAATTATGTAACTCCAGGAAAGAGACAAACAAGGAATTAGTGGCCTTTAATCAAACACATGGAGATCTGTCATGAGGCAGCTGAGTCTCTCGGGGCACACTGTGTTCTCACAGGCGGGAGCCTCCCTCTTCATGGGGGGAGCCTCTCCTGCTAGTGGCAGCCTCTCATTCTCATTCCCTGAGGACACATTCTCCCCAGCTCCCAGGGCAGGGCAGCTGGAGAGGAGAGCAGGCCATATTGCCTCTCCAAGGTGTTTGTTTATGTGAGCAGGGCTTTCTGGAAAGATTCTCATTAACAGGAGCCTTCTAGTTTTCCTGGCCTGCGTCAAGAGTTCCTTTATTTGATTTTAAGAAATAGTTCTTTGCCCAAGCCCTGGACTGTATGAAGATTCATCTTACAGGAGGGGTTGGAGGGGCAGTCCCCTAGAGCTCCCCTTGTCCTGCCATGTCATCTGTTGATGGCCTGAAGGTGCTATCTTGAACTCTGGTCCAGGTGATGACTTGGTCCAGGGCCTGTTTTGTGTAGTGGATGGAGAGGGGCTCTCAGGCCCGTTTTGGGAGGACAGAGCTGCGTTTCCTAGGTTGGCACTGTGTGTCTATATTGGGAGATATTCTTGCTCTCAGTACTCACAGAGGTGGGCACAGTGATCTTCCTCAGATCACATTGTACATTGACCAGGCAGAGGCTCTGACTGGTCAGCAGGCACACCAGGGTCTCAGCTAGCCTTGAGCAGGTCTTCTAGCTCAAGATCCTTAGCTCCTGAGGCCTCACCTTGACTTTCATGCCCTTGTATCCATTATTTAATCAGCTTGAAATTCTGAGTTCCTTGGAGAAGCCCTGGGGGCCCTTGACATGGTAGTGTCAGCCCAGGAGGGTGAGGGTCCTTGGTTCTCTGTCTCAGGAGCATGACCTGGGGAGGAGTTACACCTTGCTGTCCTAGAAGGGGGTCTCCACACCTTTCCCCGTGGCTGCCTGGCTCTTCCCAGTCTGGTATAGAGCATGGAACGCTAGCTCCAGGCGGGGGAGGTATGGCAGCGCTCCTTTGCTCTAGGGTAGTTCTTCTCTCTTGCATTCCTTTTCTGGGACCACCTCTACTCCAGTCTGCCCCTGGAAAGGAAACCCACCACATCCCAGGAGGTGTTTGGTGGACAACAACTACGTGTGTGGGGACAAGAAGGCCTGCCCCTGCCTCTGCTCGGAGCAGAGATGAGCAGGAGAAGGCCTGTTTGACGCCCTCGCCATGTTCACAGAAACCAAACCAAGCCCACACCCGGTGCCATCAAGTCAGTTCCAACTCACAGGGACCCAGCAGGGCAGCATGGAATTGCCCCAGAGGGTTTCTGAGGCTGCAGTCCATGGAAGCAGATTGCTCCATCTTGGTTATCTCACAGCAGCTAGTGTGTTCCAACCGCTGACGTTTTCATTAGCAGGTTCCTTTCATGTTCCCAGATGTTGTTACGTGTCATGGAGTCAGTTCCGACTCATAGTGACCCTGTCTAAGGTTTCCAAGAAGTGGCTGATGAGTTTGAACCACCGACCTTGTGGCTCAAACTGACCTTGCGATCCATTCCGTGCCATACCAGACTCCTTCATTTTCCTTAGAAGGAATGATTTCTGGGGGGATTGGGCTTTGTCAGCTAAGGACACAGGTTTTAGAGTGAGACAGGTTAAGCCGCAGTCTGGGTCCAGTTAGCTTTGTGGCCTTGGGCAAGTCCCTTAACCTGGCCCTGTCTGTTTCCTGTACCAAGGTATTGAAATCAACCCAGCAGACATCAGCCATGGACTGAAGTGGGCAGGTTGAGGGCCAGCAGTGAGCTCAAGGGGTCAAGTTCAAATCCATGTGCCTCTCACTTGTCTGCTATTGGTGCTCACAGTCTCTGAGCCCAAGCCATCTCTCGGGTGGACATCACAGTTAGAGGTCAGAGAGGCAAGGGGGTCTGACTTTCACATGGGGTCTCACTCTGGCTGATGAGTTCTGGCTTTAGCTTAATGGAGCCAGGCCACCAGAGAAGACTTCTGGGCGGGGGTGGGACATGGAGGAGAATTTTAATGGAGAGTGGTGTGTGTTTACACTAGGCCACGACACCGACACCTTGACACCTTACGAGAGAGCAATTTCTGCTGATGAGCTTCCTTCAGAAGGTGGCAGAGGTGTGACTGGACCGTGGGGGTGGCAGTGGGCATTCACCGGCCACCGGGTCAGAGCAGGGGGGCTGTTGTGTGTCATATGCAGATGTGGACCTAGTTCCAGGCAACCAGTGAAGGCGTTGGAGCTAGGAGTAAGGAGTTCAGAGGACTTCGTGGGCAGACCAGCCCAGACATAGCCTGGAGACAGGTTCTCGGACTCTTACCTGGGGGTTGACAGGTGTCCATAGCCTGCAGTGGACAGTGACCCACACCTAACCACAGACAGGAAATGTTCTGGTGAGACCCAGTCTGTTGGGCCCATGGAACCTGGAGCCCAGGTGCCATCTGCTAAAAGAGCCCTGGGAGGACCCCGTACCTCCCAGGCCCAGCAAAAGCCTGCTGACCAAACCCTGTGGGCAGCTGTGGCTCTTGGCCAGCAGGAAATGGCCTGTGGGTGGCCGTGACTGCTGCACCCTGACTTTCTTAGTGCGCACACCAAGCTTACTTGTTTTTTTCCAGAGGGGGCAGGGCTGGGTTTCCTGGAGCTCTTTCCTGCCCACCTTGGGATGCCGGGGGCTGGTCTCTGTAGTGTCCCAAGGCCTGTCTTGCCAGTGGCCTGGCTGCTCCTCTGAGCAAACCCATAGGACCTGCTTCAGGAGGAGCCTCCCCTCCCCCTCGGCCAGTTCCTCACACATCGAATCTGGAGGCACAAAGCCCTTAGAAACGGTCTATAAACGTCTGTCACTGCCCTAACGTTCATTCTCCTAGATAATTATACCCATCCCAGTGACGTCGCTTTTGTGTTGGGAGACCCCCTAAAGTTGTCCCTGTTCCCACGCCGGCTGACTTGTACTGCTGTCTTACTGCTGGGTGCTGTGGGGAAGGCAGGTTGCGCTGGGGTGGAGGTGGCTACTGCGGCGCTGCCTGGGTGATGGGCCCTGGTACACAGGGAAGTTCTTCTGGGAATGAGGTCGACCCGTGGGAGAGATGGACACTCCAAGCCACGGAGGCCTCTTTCAGCCTCAGGGAGACTGGGAGGCTAGACGCGCTCCTTCCTCACCTGTCTGGGTACCTGGTCTGTGTTTGTATGGTGGGTGCCACCTCCATTCCACACTCCCAGGGCTCATCCTCAGTCCAGAGCCCCAAGACCTGCCAGTCTCACTGGGTCCCCTCGGATGGGTCAGCTGGGGTTCATATTATTGCCACAACAGAAGTGGAAGAGAACGCTGGCTTTGAGAAGCTTGACCTACGCTTCTCTCACCTGTAAAAGTGCCAGGGAAGGTCACCCAATGCTTGTGGAGGGACAAGCCAACTGCTTCCAGCTTACTGTTCATCCATGGTGGGCCTTCTGTGGTCCAAGATGGTGGCTAGATGTAGACTAGGATGGAGAGGAGGAAGGAGCTGAAAGAAGCAAAGAGCAACAATCACTGGGTACCTTTTATGGAAGGTCCTAGAAGCTCTACACATTACTGTGCTCATAGCTCATTGGCAGAACTGAGCCACAGGCCATCTTGAGCTGCAAAGGAGTCTGGGAAATGTACTTCTTATTCTGAGCAGCCATGTGTCCAGCTTAAATTCAAGAGTTGTGTCCTCCTGGAAGAAAGGAGAGCCAAGTTTTGGGGGGCAGGGAACTGGTGGTCTGCCACACCGACCCTCTGAGATGGGGACTTCAGCCTGGGGTTCTACCTTTCTCAGGTCACTGATACTTGGAATGGTCCATCTCATCCAGCTGACGGCTGTGGACAACAGCAAGGCCCCTCCAGGCAGCTTCTGTAAATGGGAGGGAGAATGACTCACCATTCGCTTGCCCTGAGCACCTTGGCCAGGTTTCCCTAGATGACTACTTCTGGGCTTAGCCCCTTGGGGACATGCCTGTCCCCATGGCCACATCCATCCCACACCTTAGGAGGGCAGAAGTTCAGGCAGCCTGGTTTCCGGGTCCAATCAAACCAAGCATAGGAGCTTCCTGTGAGTGAAACACTACCCTGGGTGGGGAGGCTTGGGAGGGAAGGAGGCCCAGGTGACAAACTGAGTTGACTGATGTGCATTGGTGGCCGTTTCTCTTGCTGGTGACCCCTTTGCTGCACAGGGTTGGCATGTGGAGGTGGATGCTTCAAGGCTCAGAGTCTACCCAGGAAGGCCCTGGGACATGACTGCCAAGAGGCATATGGATTTGACACCGGAGCCCCAGGTGGTGACGGATGCAAACGTGGCTTTGAGTTGAGGTTTTGGGTGAGGGGTGGCTCACTGTTCTCCTTCCCTAGAATCTCCCGACTTGAGTTTGCTCTAGGTGACCGCTGAGGGTGCCAGGCCTAGGGTGGGAGCAGGAGGAGGGTAGGGATGCAGGACAGATGGAGAGTTTCTGCCCCTGGGTTCATTGGAATTTAATCAGGAGGCATCTTGGAGATGGTTTGGAAGCTGGAGTGAAGTGGAGTAATCTAGACCTCGAGTGAATCAAAAATCACGTTCCTTAGGCCTTAGAGCCAGGCAGGAATAACGCCACAGATCATCCATCTGGGGGTGCACTCAAAGTGGGGGGGCCCTTGGTGAGCTGCATCGGGGTGGGGGCATCCCCAG